ACTGATGAAGAAGCAAAACATGAAATATATAGAAACACAATCAAGAGCATTCTTTGCACCCTATTACCTGGCTGCTGCTTTTTGCACTTGGGTACCAGAGACCGAGCAAACCTCAGAAACAATGCAGAAAGGAGGATAGCTGCCAGACTGCAGCACTTCAGAAGTGCTCATCTTGTACATACGACCACCCTGATTACATGATGAAACTTGTGACTTCAGCAGCTCTCTCTCTTCCTAACTGTATCCAGCCTATCAAAATTGTGGTGATGGTGAAGTGAGAGAACAGCAGGAGTGCAGTTTTCCACAAGCTCTTGGGAATGCTACAGCCCCACACTTTCCTCATGCCCTAGAAGGAAAGTTTCCCGGTGGGCAGCTGCCTGAGCCAGTGCCTCACCACACTCTCTTAGGAACATGCTGCTCAGCATTTGTTGTTTTTGCTTCATGCTTTTGGAGGTCATCCAGAAATGACGCAGACTGGTGCAACACTATCTGGTGATTCTCCCCACCAATCCCTTCATGTACAGCAGATTAGCTAAATCATTTTATCCAATGTGTGCCCAGAAAGAGTAATTGAAAACCGTTTGTACAAAGCTTCTGTGATGTGCTGGAGGTGGTGCCCTCAAGGCCATTTTTATTTCTATGTCTTGAATGACAATGCTTTTTTTAAAAAAAGTACAAAATCATTTGGGAACACACAAACCTAAAGCATATCCACTTACATGCAGCCAAGCATGGCTAAAAGATGGATGCTTAGTTTCATGTTTAAACAATATTTTCCCTTAGTGAATGAATGAGGGTTTTACTCAGCAACACTAATCAGTGGCCTTGGTTGTGCATAATGTGCTTGCAAACCACGACCTTCACGAGGAGGGCACCACAGCACCTAGTGAAGTTGTATGGCAGGAGAGTGTAGTTACTGTACATCCTGCTGACACAAAGTTTTACAAGGGTTGGACATAAAACTGACTTTTCAGTGACTTTTAGATGAAAGCTCTCTTTTAATGATTAATGAAGTACTGGATTCTCAATAAAGAGAAACATTTTCAATTTAGACTTCAGAGCTTGCCCTTTTTGAACATTAACATTGCATGTATTTGCAGGCTATGCAAACTAAATCCTTTGAGTCACTTCTAGATACAAGATGACTGTTGTCCTAGATCAGTTATGTGCCATTATTTATGGGAGGAGCACATACATGACTTGGTACTCTGGAAAGGCAAGGGCAAGTCTCTTGCTCCTGCATCCCTCACGGAACACTCTTTTCTTTGCTATGTGTCCAGTGGGCACTGAGGCCCAGCCAGGTGCTGTCTGACAACAGTGCACAATAAGTGCTGTAAAGGAACAGAAAAATACCTCAGGTTTGATGATTCCCAACATTAACCCACCTGAAATGTTACTACTGAATTTCAAATACGCGGGTTTGTAGTCTGGTGGTTGTACTTCCACTGTGGCCACATAGCAATGCAGCAGAGGAGGATCTGAGAAAAGTGTGGGCTCAGAAAACCATTCTTCTCAAGTTTTCTCTGCTGTCTGAACTTAATGAAAATGGCCTCTCCAAGAGACTGCAGACAGTTCATACATGGGAAATCTGCTCAGTGTTGTCTGTACTAGAATCAGCTTATCCCTTCTGCATATTAAAAAAAAAATCTGATATTTGTTTTTTCACAAAAACAGAATGAAAAAATAAAGGGCACACTACTGTTATAGAAGCATTGTCACACAGTACTGACATGGCCATGGTTTGCTCTAGGCAATCTTTATAGAATAAGTGTTTGTAGCAGAGAAGTAGCACTTACCTGAAATACTAAAGACTACTAAATTTCTTCCCTGATCCTCTTATGAATTTGTGTAATGCTTCTATAGTCTGCTGCAGTATGTTTCTGCATGCTGCAGCAATATAATGGCTTCCTGCTGTCCTTCCACGTGTGGAATAAACACAAGGTATCTGTACTGCTTTCAAAGAAAAAAGAGGGAAGGAAATTTTGTTTTCAGAAAATATTAATTGCATCCTCTTCTCTAACCTGACTAGAACAATTAGCACTAATTGAGTATAAGAGAGCTTGTAACCTAATTCCAGTCACTGAATAAATTAAGCTGTTTTGATTCATATTATCACAGGACAGTAAAGTATCAACACAGTGACTACGTTACACACTGTAACAGAAGTACATCTGGGAACTGCAGCATCACTCTGGGGACCTGGTTTTACAGTCATGGTTCATTTCTAGCCAAGTGCTCAGGGCTGCTTTAATTCTGCCATTCCATTGATAGATTCGCTCCACAAAGGTGAATCACCATTTCCAACTGCTGCCCTAGAGAAAACAGGTTACTACCATTAAAGCTCAAGGTCAGAACCACAAAAGTCCTCCCCAGAATCTGAACTGAGAGTGGAAGTCCTGTTCACCATAAGCATAAAAATACCCCACTCAATCCTTTCTGAAATTGAGACATAACTTTGCTCAGTTCAGGCTGCTTTGTTTCATTGTTATTACTTTGAACGACACTTTTTACTTGAAAGAAATCTGCTTACAACACGCTCCAAGTTGTAAGTAGAATTAATGTAAGAGTCCAACATCCTCACAATACCCCCCTGCAGGTAACAGAGCTACAGCACAGAGGATTTGGCTCATTTGTACGCAGTAAGGCGTAGCATGGGAAACAACACTGTGGTGACAGCAGCTGGAACATAAACACAGGAAAGGAGGACCCTGCAAAGCAGCGGGTGACCTCTAAAAGCAGTCTGTACTCTTTGCCAGACAGCCTTTCTACATCCCTACAGGTTGATGGTTTTGGTTAGCAATGAAGGTGAACAGTGGGAGGAAATGACAGGACTGAGAGGCTTGTAAAACTCTGCCTGTCAGTCAGAGCTGGGCCTCACCTGTATCACACACAGATGAATGCACACGGGATCCTCTTAGGGATGTTATAAACAGCAAAGCTCTGACAACAGCACAAACTACTCAAATTCTGTTTCTGAGCAGCAGAAGACCAAATCCTTGGTGTTTTCAGGGAAAGGGAAGGATGCAAGCTTGATGCATAATGAAGTCATTTAACATCATTGAGTCTCTTTCCCTTGTTTTTTTTATGTATAGATATAAGTATATCTAACCGGCAAAATTGTAGACAAGATGTAAGACAGTGTATCTAACAATGCATTCCTCTACCATGGAGTTCCTCTGCAGAACAAACAGCTACCTGCTTCAATATCTCCTCTACAGCACAGCTAGCTTACAGTGATTATTTCCTTAAGAAGGAACCACCACAGAATAAACTTATAGGCAGAAATGTACTACTGTTAGCTTCACTTCTTCCATACTGTGTTGCCTTCATAAAAAGCCAGGTTTTTATCCCCTGTGGTCTATAAGCAATAAAGGCTTCTTTTTGAGCGAAGATGCTCTCAAACTAGTTTTGTAAGTGCTAAACTTGGACAGAAAGGACTTAGTACAGTGTGGAGACCTCACTTCAAATCAGTACAGTCACTCATATGCTACTGCTTCAGGGTCCAAGATGATTCACCTACTGGAGAATGGCATTGCTGCAAGTGCTGAACTGGTTTGGACAGTGCTAGCCAGGAGATCGTTCATGTTGCTCTGCTACACAGTGTCAACAAGCCCTTAAGCATTTGGACTGGCACACAGGTTCCTGGCATCCTTAACTCCTTGGGTTTTGGCTATAAATAACCTTGCAGCAGCAGGAACTAATTCAATTTTCAAACCACGCATATCATTAGCAAATTTGGTACAACTTAGCAGGTAGACAAGATCTACATAGCAGCATAATTTAAATGGCATTGCACCATTTGTAGTGGTTGTTGACATTCAAGTTGCATAGATTTTAGTAGTCTGGGTAAGACTCTACATTGAGTTCAGTTTTTTCTCTTCCATTTTAAAGCTGTCTTCAGGAGAAGCTTGACCCGATTCACTACATTGGCTGTAATGAATCCTGATAAATGAAAGAAACTTAATTCTCTCTCTCTTTTTTAGCAACTAAGCAATTTCTCTCTCTTTTTTTTTTCTATAAAGATTAAAACATCTTTAAGATTAAACATCTTTTTAAGATTCAAGCACTTTCAGGATTCTTAGTGATAATATGATAACATGCACTGCAACTAATAACTATGCTGTACTAAATTCCATGGACCTCTCCTTTTTGGTGATGTTTCACTCCCTATCTTCTCCATCTACAGAAAATAAACCTTTTAAGGAAGTTGGTCTTCCCTCTACAGTTCCCAATGGAGTTTTCAAAACTTTGAGAATTTAGTTTCAGTATGAAAATATGACTTGTGTTCATATGCTCTGCAGCAGATGTCCCCAAAATACTTGGAGTATAAAGCAATTTCAGAAGAGACATAGTTGATTGCTTCTGAATTTTCATGAGACAAAAGGAAAAAAGAATTGAGTGAAGGCTTAAATGAAAATGACAGTTTATTGGAATTTATATTTTGCAAAATGGTCCTAGATCAAGCAGCAGATTTTTTATTTAGGAGAAAAATTAGATAATGAAGCGAAATGGAAATAAGTCCCTGTAGAACTAGAAACACTGCCTCTATGAAAATGACTTTATTGCAAAAACAGTTGGAATTTCCCCTATCGCCATAATTCAGTGCTTCTCTTCTGCTTGTAATAAGTTTATATTCCAATCTGCCTACAAATTTCTTAATGTTATAATAGGAAAGAGATTGTACTTCTCTTAGAAGTTTCCAGGCCTGTTTTCCAGGAACAACTTCATTAAATGCTTTCATGTGAAGTATGAGTGTATGGTCCCCTCCTTCTGTCTTTCCTCTGAGATTTGATTACCACAAATCCTTCTAAAGAAACGGCAGGATCAAGCCAACATGATACAAATTCAGCTGGTGTGAGTTTATAGAGTAATCTCCTCCCCTAAATGAAGCAGAATGACACGACAGAATGGAAGCAGTTCCAACAGGAGCGTTCAGAAGCGGGGGTGAGTTCTGATTTTGTGTGCACATGAGGCTGACATCAATGTTCTGCTTCGTTCAGGTACTTCAGGAAATCTTCCAGACACAAGATACAATCATGTTACTGGAGAGATCCATAAAGGCAAAGGAGTACCCACTGAAAGTGGCTCAGACCCGCCTGGAGGCGAGAACCAAACGACCCAACATAGAACTCTGCCGTGATCCACCTCAGTTCCAGTAAGCAAAGGCCAGACTAATCCATCCTTTCCTTCAGCAGCCACTCAAGAACAGGAAATTTAATGACAGCATGAATCAGTTTGATGAGATTAGAATTGCTTTCATTACATTATGATACAAATTCTGGGAAAAGTAAAATGCAAGTAGCTATGTTGAAATAACAGGCTAAACATAAAATGCTCAATGTATATAGTTGCTTTTAGAGTTTTTCTCCCAGGACAGTTAAGAGCTCAACTGCTTGTTGGCAGCTGATTATCTTTTGGGATTCAGTCTCATGTTTGAGCTGGGATTTAAGAGTTAATTTTAATTCCATTCTCTGTGAAACACAAGCTTTCACTTTAGAAGCTTGACCATTAGATGTTTTTTTTTTGCCTCAGACATTAGATTTCTGTTTTGGTCTGGAATAACATGTTTCTAAAATTATATATTTCCTGAAGTTTCTCCAGCATCCCCTTGGTACAAGTTGGCTCCTTTGGCACACATTTGGGTTGTATAGCTGGGGGGGCTGCCCTGCGCATGCCGCTATCAGCTGGGTGATCCCTGTGCTGTGATCCATTGTACAGGGCGTGTTGTGTCTTCCTGGATAGACAAGAGGATGTCCAAGATACTAACCTTCCTTCCTAACAGCTTCCCAAACAAGGGTCTTTGGAATTTTGATCCCATTTATGTCCCTCCAGTCCACTCCAAACAGCGTTACAAGAGAACCCTGTTAGGTATACTGTAGTTAATAAACAGTCTCAAAATGCTCTGGGGGGGCTTTCTTGAGCAATACTGCACCAGGGCTCATCTCATAGCTGGAGTTAATTTCACAGTCCAGTAAGAGGATTTTGCCTATTTTAATGAAAAGTAGAAAACTATTCCCTTTTTATTTTGTCTCCAGCAAAACACCACTGTATACAACAGCTGCACATACAATGAAATTAATGAAGGATGTAATGCTTAAACTGAATATTTATCTTTCCTAAGCAGTGTTTTACCAGCTCAAAAAGCCTCTATCCAAGCAAAGAACTGGCAATAAATCATAGTTTATTGTAGTGGCAGCTCTTCAGTTTTTTAACTCCTTAAGCCACAAATTCTACAACAATGCAATACATCTTTTTGCAGCTTCATACCTCCTGATCAGATCTTGTCATTTCCTTTGGTGTATCCATATATTAGATTCTTCATCTTCATGCTCTGTTCTCCACAACCATTCTGTCACAAAGTATTGGTTTGGATCTGAATTCTTTTATATCCACTTGAATGGTTTTATTCACATGGCTTTTCATATCACATAAGTCATGCCTGTTATAGATGGAGTTCAGCTGTGAGAAACCAGAAAGAATTGTGATTACACTGCAGCATTCACTTAGCAGTTACATTTCTATGGGAACAGATCAGTTGCCACTTCAGTTACCACACCATCAAGTAGGTATGTGAATAACCTAGTATCAGCATTTAAATTAAAAAAAAAACACAAACACAATACAAACCAACATGGCCTTTAATATTAACACACAACTCCAGTTTTATACTCAAAGACTTGTTCTCCCTCTGCTTCCTCCCTGCAGATCTCTTCCACAAAGATGTTTGCAACATTAGACTGATACCAGTGTGGTCATCAGAACTGCATGTACCCAAGATACAAAACTTCTTTGATTTAGGATCAAAAGTGCCATGTGGCACATGGTCCCTTCTTCCCACAATTGTCAGTGATGCTGTTGATGTTCCAAAGGATCCTGTCTTAAAAAAGTTTGGAAATCTAATTTTAAGGCACTAGAATATCAGAACATCTTTGAATGTTTTCTTCAATTACAGTGGAAGGACATTAACACAACCTACTTAAAACCCAAGTTGTACACGGGGGCTCTGAATCATTCCCACTCCTGCTGGCCTCTAGGTTATAGAAAAGGGCTTCATGAGCTGTTGCACAGCTATTCACAAGATTTTAGGCTTAATGTATATGTGCAAGTTTTCTGTCAGTCTGATATGATTTCTAATATTTCATCCCAAAAGTTGACCTAAGTACACTGTTTACTAGATGTAGTTGTACTGACAGATAATTAGCATATCCTGTTCTCCTTCCTCCAAAGGGCATGAGTCTTGCTCTACCACAGCTCCCTGATCCAGACCAGGTTATGCTGGATGCTTTAGCTGAACAAAATCATTGAATGTTATGCTCATCATAACTACAATTCAGAATAGAAATTCTGACAGGACTTTTGAAATTTGGACACTTCTCTCACAGTTTTTGGTTGAGCTCATCTCTCAAAAAGTATTTTCTTGCAGAGAAAATGCTATATGAGAAACTAAAATAATTTTCTAATTCACTTTTTAAGGATTTTTTACTTTTAGATGATTTAAATGTATTTCACTCACATGGTTTAAAGCAAGAAGGAATTCAGCCCAATAGCTCAAATGTAATAGGGAAAG